TTGTTTTGTTTTGTTTTGTTTAAATATTTTTTTAGTTTTATTTATTTATCTTTATGTGGTGCTGAGGATCGAATCCAGTGCCTCACCTGTGCTAGGCAAGTGCTCTACCACTGAGCCACAACCCCAGCCCTAGTTCCATTTTTTACCCCCCTCCTGATGCTGGGGGTTCAAACCCAGGCCTCACACATGCTAGACAAGGGCTTTACCACTGAGGGTAGGTAAACCCAAAGCCTGCTCACACAGCCTGCTCACTGTTGGGCACAGTGGCTCAAGCCTGGGAGACTGAGGACAGGTGGATCACATGTTTGAAGACAGCATGGGTAACTTAGTGAGATCCTGTCTCAAAATAAATGATATTTTTTAAAGGGCTTGGGATTTAGCTCAGTGGAAATGTGTTCACCTGGTACATAAGAGACTCTGGGTTCAATCTCCAGACCATAAAAAAACAAAGCAAAACAAACAAAAACCCCACCTATTTATGGTCTAGGTGTTGGAAACACAGCACTGAGCAGAGCCTAACTATCCCTATCCTCAGAGAAGACAGATAGTCAACAAGAAATTATAAGAGTTATTTCCATGATCCTAATATCAAGGTGGCATTCCTTTCTCCCAGAGCAATCCTTTTTTTTCTCTATCCCCAAGTCTGGACATGTACCAACTGGTAAGGAATTGTCAAACACTTTATTATATAGTGTATCTTTTTTGGGGGGTGGGTACCCCGGGGATTGAATCCAGGGACACCCGACTAGTGAGCCACACACCCAGCCCTATTTTGTATTTTATTTAGAGACAGAGTCTCTCTGAGTTGCTTAACACCTTGCTATTGCTGAGGTTGACTTTGAACTCATGATCCTCCTGCTTCAACTTCCAGAGCCACCTGGATTACACACATGTGCCACAGCTCCCAGTTTATACTGTATCTATTTTCCCCCTCCCAGTGCTTGGGATCAAACCCAGGGCTTTGTGCACGTGAGGCAAGCACTCTACCAACTAAGCTATATCCCCAGCCCCATATACTATATCTTTTAATTAAAAACAAAACAAAACAAACAACAACAACAACAACAAAACCGAAAACCCCCCAAACACCATGACTTCATTTTTTTTTCTTTTTTCTATAAGTATTTATTGAGCAGCACTATTGCTATGGATTCCTAGCCCTCATGCTCAAAATCTAGTGGAGGACTCATAAAAGTAAATAGGAGTGAATACACTGTATAATAAGTGAATCAGGAGGATAAGCAGTGTATGTTGTGGAGCTCCTAGGAGGCATAGCTACAAGACCTCAGAGGGTAGAGGTCTAGGCAGGGAAGTTTCTCTGATGAGGCTAATGTTTATCAGGCTATTCTCATAGGTGTTAGCTACATAGAGGTGTCAAGGAGGATGGGGACATGTGTTCCATGGCAAAAGAAATTTTTAGATCAAAGACTGGGCACCGGAGAAGCTTAGGCTTGAGGAATAGAGGTGGTGGTTTCAGGAGTGATTTACAATCTAGAATTTTATACCCAGCAAAACCATCAATCAATGTGTGAGGAATGCCGGATTTGGTGGTACATGCCTATAGTCCCAGCTGCTTAGGAGGCTGGAGGCAGAAGGATCACTTGAGCCCAAGAGTTTAAGCCTGGCCAACATAGTGGGAAACCAAGCTCATCAAAAAGTCAAAAAGAAAAAAAGAAAAAGTTCTACCTATTCAGGAGTTGGAGATTGGACCATGAGAAGAAGTTCATTCAAGTTCAAGGTCAGCCCTGGCAGTTTAGCATAACCTGGTCTCAAAATAAAAAAGGTTGGTGGTATAGCTCAGTGGTAGAATGTCCCTGGGTTCAATCCCCAGAACCAAGGCAGGGGTGGGGGAAATGAGAAAGCAATAAAAATAAAGACATTTTTGGATATGGAATGTCCAAAAATTTGCCTCTTGTATATCTCTTTCCAGGAGTCTAGTGAAGGATCTGTATCAAGAAAACCCCACCCACTCAGATCTGTTTGGGGGTTGAGGACATAGCTCAGTGGTAGAGTGCTTGCTTCACACATGCAAAGCCCTGAGTTCAGTTCCCAGCATCACCCCCTCCAAAAAAAAAAATCCCTAGTTTCTTTATTGGGCTGGGGACGTGGCTCAAGCAGTGGCACACTCGCCTGGCATGCATGTGGCCTAGGTTCGATCCTCAGCACCACATATAAACAAAGATGTTGTGTCCGCCGAAAACTGAAAAATAAATATTAAAAATTCTCTCTCTCTCTGTCTCTCTCTCTCTCTCTCTCTCTCAATAGAAAACGAAAAAGAAAAAGAAAACCAAGGTGTAAATCAAGAGAGTAGACAATGTAAGAATAATGGCGTGAGCTCAGTTAGGCGGGGCCTGGATCAAAGAGGGTTTATTAATAATCTTACACTTCACTGTAATGTCAATTTTTTCTCTTTTTTTGAGTGGTGCTGGGGAACAAACTCATGACCTTGCACACGCTAGGCAAGTGCTCTACCCTAGCTATAATGTCAAAGTTACTTAAAATAATAATAGAATAATATCCTAAAATAGAGACTTCTTTCTCAAAGTTTGAATCTCAGAGGCCCTTTTAAACACAATGTGGTTTACTTCAAACAGAAACAATAGTTTGAATCAATTTCTCTGTGTGTGTGTGTGCACGCGCCATGCATATATTATATATATATTTCCTTTGAAAAGGGTTCTGCTGCTTTTTCTTTTTTGTGTGTGTGGTGCTGGGGATCAAAGCCAGGGCTTTGTGCATTTGAGGCAACCAGCGTTTTCTTTTTAAATTTAATTTAATTTTCTTTCTTTCTTTCTTTCTTTCTTTCTTTTTTAGTACTAGTGATTGAACTTGGACTTGGGGTGACTACCACCTATATCCTATATCCTCAACCCTTTTTATTTAGAGACTGAGTCTTGATAAGTTGCTTAGGGCCTCGCTAAATTGCTGAGTCTGGCTTTGAACTTTCGATCCTCCTGTGTCAGCCTACAGAGTTGCTGGGATTACAGGCCTGCAAAACCACACATAGTTGTTACTTTTGAAAAAAATGTTTGGAAGCCCCCATACTAGAAAAACCAAAAAAAAAAAAAAAAAAGTCTTAACTACAGATGTTTCACAATTTATGATAGGGTTATGTCCCAACAGAGGCATCATAAATCAAAAATGCACTGAATATACCTAAGCTACAGAACATCATAACTTAGCAACACAGCACAACGTGGAGTACTGGGTTTCCCCTGATGATTTTAAGGCTGACTGGGAGCTGCGGCTTACTGCTGCTGCCTGTACCACAAGAGAGGATCATACTGTATATCACTAGCCCTTGAAAAGATCAAAATTCAACATTTGAAGTATGATTCCTATTAAATGCATATTGCTTTTGCACCCTCTCCCAGTTGGAAAAAATCACAAGTCAAAGAATTGGAAGTCTGACCATCTGTACTACTTAAGTAGCCTTGCGCAATCTGGCAGAGCCCTGGGAGATCCTGGGTCCAGAGGTCATAAGAATTTTAAGGTTTATGTAGGTGGCTGTGAGCTATTGAAGTCTCTGGAGCAGTACACTGGAGAAAGGCTTGGAGAGGTGAAAGGGCCAGCTACTGCGTTTTAGGCACATTTTGTTGGTCAGTCTCCCTTTGGCAGCAAAGGTGATCCCTGGAAGAGCATCTCTTCTAGGACAGCTCTGCTCACCACTTAAGTAAGCAAGCTGCCTCTCCAAGGGACTGCCAGCCAGTAAATTTTTCAGCTGCAATCATGGGGTGGGGGAAACACAATATGGCCAAGTCTCTTGCCAAACTTTGGCACAGCTGGAAAAAGCAGTGTGTGCCTGCGTGTGCATGCGCACATTCGTTTGGTGGGCTTAGAAGAAATTTATGAGCATGTTATGTTTTAGCAAATCATGGCTGAAGCCAGAACAGGGATCCAGGTGTTCCCTAGATCTGAAGCCAAAGAGAACCGTTTATTTATGGTTCCAGTAGATAGACATTTTCTTTTCAAAATCTGCATTTCAAGCACAATGATAAAAGATCTGCACACAAACCACACTGCTGCGTGTTATGTTTACTGGTTTTGCGGGCCATAAAAAAGGGTGTCCTCCAGTTTCCCATCATTTAGGAGGTCTTTCCCCTGCCCTCCCCAGACCAGCCTTGTCCCCCCCTTTCCTCCCAAGCAGGGAGTTTTAAATAGTGCTGCTCTAAAGTTGTTGGCTGGTGACCTGGAAAATTCCTTTTGCTTTGTTAAGCTGTTAATGGCCCATCAGTTCAAACCTCCTATCCATCCCAGAAAGTTCCTTCCTCCTAACCAGAATGGAGAAGGAAGGAGAAGTTAAAGGGAGGAAGAAATACTATTTGAAGAAGTTGGGGAAGGGTGGCCTGGACCAGATGGAAGGAAGGAGTTTCATCTATCTTGATGTGTCTTCAGAGCAGCTAGCCCAAGGGCACAGATAAGTAGGGGCTTATTGAATGATTTTAATGAAGGTGATACTTTTGAATGAAGTAATAGCTTAGCTATGTAGGATGTGAATGAACACAGGTCTTTTGGAAGACCTTTAATCCCGGAAGCCAAGATTCAGATTTACCTTGGCGAAATGGTAAACCAGTAGGTGTATGAACTCAGATGAGCTGCTTAGCTCACTTTCCTTTTTCTCATTTGTTGGGAATTGTTAACTGCCTTGAATCTTGTATTTTTAGCTATAAAACTAGCAATTACTAAATACTATGTGTGCCAGAGTACAGGGCTGGGGACTTTTCATGTGTTTGCTTATTTAATTCTTACCATGAACTCTATAAGGTAAGTACTAGTATCATTTCCATTTTAGAGAAGAGGAAACTGAGCCTCAGAGAAGGAGATGGAGTCTGACCCGAGTTCTCTGTATTCTTAGTTAATTCTCTGAACCTTAACATGATGCTGCTTATAAACTACAAAGATCCAGACAACATAAATAAGAAGCAGCGTAGAATGGCCAATCAATTCTCAGAGCACACCTGTCACCTTTTGCTGGTGACCCAGGTTATGTATTTGCTAAGTTTTCAGGTCCTTCTTGGAGGAGACTGTTCTGCACTTGGCATTATAAACAGACACATGTCACTTGCCTTCTGGATTTCTGGACCAAAGTTCTGACCACAAAGCCCTGTTTCTCTTCAGGACGTGGATGGTTACATTCTCTTTCTCAGACTCCAGAACAGGACTTAGGGAAATGAGAGCCTTTGAACACTAGTGCCATTCCCAACATCCACCACTGCTACAGCATGGCCATCGAGAAGCACCTGGGACATTTTTTCTTCTCCCATGAGCTTTGTTGTATCGTTTGGAGCCAGCAACTCTCAAATCCACCTTCTGTAACCCAGAAATGTCATAGGACACTGGACAATTGGAGAAGAGACAGCTGACCAGGTAAGAGACTGCCACTGGACTAGCCGACCCAGGAGAAACAACCATGAGGGAGGAATGGGGCTGCGGACATCGGCTGGAAACCCTAAAAGATGACATGGCTAGGGGTCCACCCTGCATCAAATTCCCAGGGCCCAGGGTCCTGCCTCTGGGAACTGCACAAATGGGAAGGTGGTCAAAGGTGAAAAGGGCAGGGGAGGACCCATATGGGAGAGTGTGGAGGGGGTAATGTGCTCTATCCGGGCTGTTCCTGTGGTGCACAGGAAGCTCTTTCTCCTCCTTGCCCTGCCAAATGGTTCTTCTGCCTGGCTAAGGCAAAATCTCACGCTTTATGGGAATCATCTTTGAAATAGCCAAGAGGATCAGAAGGGATAAACACAATAAATAGTCTGTTTTCTTTAGACTGTACTCTTGAGACCCCCATCTTGGGCACCCAGGCAAATCCCTTGCCTCCCTTGAAGATGTACAAATTGTCTGGGATATGGCATCTTTTCTTGGTAGCTGTTTCCTATGTGTTTAATGACCCCATCAGGTTGAAATTTGTTCCTTGTCCCCAGCTAAGATGATACAGGCAAGACAACTTATTAACCATGTGCCCTTAATCAAATTCCACATCCTCTCTGTACCTCAGTTGCATTATCTGCAACATGGGAATAATAATAAAATGCCTCTCATTTAGCAGAGGTTTTCTTTGTAACTTAATTTAGATGAAAAATATATGTTGCCTATTTAGGGTTGCCTGTGGTAGATGCCACATACTCAATGCCTGAGCTGCCTTCAAACCCAAACTTCAGATCTAGTTCTTTGGCTCTAAATCTTGCCGGAAAACTAAATCTCCTACCCCTGGAGCCTTGCCAAAATGCCGGTGCCTGGGCCCTATTACCAGGGATTCTAATTCCCTTGATCTATGGTGGGTCCAAGAGTCAGTGTTTTTGAACCACTTCCTGGAAATTCAATTTACACCTAGAGAACCATTGGATTTTGTGGTGTTCACCTTTTCCAGATGGGAAGCTCTGAGGCCTGGAAAGGGGAAGAGACCTGCCCAGGTCTGACAGCCAGACCAGAGGAAACCAGGTTTTTTATCCTGGATGCCAACCCCCAGGGCTTCATGGGGGAAATCTAGCCCTCAAACACCATTCAGGTCTTTGGGATGGGAAGAGAACAGCTCCCTTTTGCAGGCTCTTTCCTGAAAATATTATTTGGACCCTTCGATCCAGTTTTCCAGGACTCAGACCTTTTACCCTGCAGGCCTCCGGTCAGAGGGCCACCTCCTCAGAGAGCTCTCTGGTTAGACTGCGGCTGATCTAGAATAGGATGCTCTTTGATGACTGCATTTATAGATGTAAAATAGTCCTGTTCATTCATTCATTCCTTTGCTTTCGAAATTCTAAGCCCCCTGGGGCCAAGGACCGTGTCTATCTTGATCCTACTGCACCCGGGCTGAGCAGTGACCAGCACTTAGTAAAAAATACTCATTAAATGACTGAATGAACGAAATCCCGGGAGGGCAGTTTGAGTATTTATTTATTTATATTTGGTCCTGACCATCTGATTCTCATTACTCCTAAAGCTCGGGAAGTCTCTCTCTGCTTTGGCATTTTACAAACCTCGTGTGCGTACGTCGACATTTTAACCATAAATCCACAAGAGTTTTCGGGGCTGGAAAATTCGAGGCCAGGGGATGGGGGGAGGGAGATAAGACGACCCGGAGGTCCGAAGCCAAGGCGGCGGCGCTGCCCGGGTGGGGGAGGGAGCG